ATGTATTGGTCTTAATGATTGGCTGAACAAGAAGTAGGACTGAGTGGACTTGTAAGCTCTAAAGGTTTACATTGTTTTGTTTTTGAGTGCACTTATGTAAAAAAACAAATTCTACATTTGTAAATCGTGCTTTCATGATAGAGATTGCACTACAGTTCTTGTATGAGGTGAATTGAAAAATACTATTTTTATTTACAGTGCAAATATTTGTAATAAAATATAATGTAAAGTGAGCACTGTACGCTTTGTATTTTATGTTGTAGTTGAAATCGATATATTTGAAAATGTTGAAAAAATCCAAAAATATTTATTATAAATTTAAATTGGTATTCTATTGTTTAACAGTGTGACTAAACCTGCAATTAATTGCTACTATTTTTTTAATCTCTCAATTAATTGCAATTATTTTTTTAATTGTTTGATAGCCTTAACATAAATATATTTATAGTGCAATCAGGAAGGTGTAAGGGATTCTCATGGAGATCTTCACATATAGTACTGGTAAATCCAGTATGACTTTTCAGTGAAGGTTAGCTCTTGTTGTGCTATGTGATGGAACTTTGACTAAACAAACAAAATTAGTGGAAATGGTAGGGAAGGACTTTTGTCAGGCATGTTTCATGTCAGGTTTTAAAGCATATCTAGAGATTGATTCCCGTCCTCCAAAAAACTAACCCCAAAAAAAAAAGTGTAAGCACACCAGATTTTTCTTTATCTCCATGCCTTCTTTCATTAAAGTTCCTTATCTTGCTGAAGATAATGCTAAAGAAATAACTTAAGCAATGTTAATTTCAACATCTATTTTTAAGACTGCCTATTTCAGAGCTTGGCACCTCACTGTTAAAAAGTTTTCATATTAAATCTTAACATTTTTATAGGTAGTTGATCCATCATAGATACTGAATCGGCAAAGGAAATCTTATTTCTTTGTAATATTATAAAATGTCATATGGACTTAACTACCAACTAAGTGCCAGTTCATTTAGGATGTCATCGCTGTGCTGTAACATTACTGTTAATTTAAATGTGCACTATTGTGCCATGATAGCACTTGGTGATTAGTTTTTTGCCTCTGTGTGCCTGAGGCAAGCAACTGTAGTATGATGCATTAGTACATGATGCCTTGTGCAGTGTGCTCAATTGAGAGACTCTGGGGGAATATAACTTTGTTTGCATCACTATCGCTATGCTGAATTTCCATCTCCAAAGGTGCAGGATCTAATTACTTTGCGCTTTCATACATTTTTAACTTGTCTTGGCAGTGGCTCTGATAAAATAGAACTATGACCTACTAATGAGTGGGAGAAAGTTAGTTGTAAAATAGATTGAGTTGAAAAATGAGCCACAATCAGTAATTTTTGGAAATCTGAGAATTGCAGTATCTGTTACAGGAGTACTTGGTCCCTAAGTTTCTAGTATGACCATGTATGCACCCACCCTGTAATCAACTGCTGTCCTCCCATCCTGGAAGCAGGGGATGTATGACTTCACCAAGAACCTGTCATAAGGACACCCCCTACCACTTCATGAATTGGTTCTTGAACTCCTCTGTTGATTGGGATGAGAAAAATGTCTTGTCTTAAGAAAAAGTTTATGGTAGGTATAGAACAAGTGTGTTAAATCATACCTCTGCTAAACTGACAGCACCTCTGCCTCTACTTCTAACTTGTAGGTGTAGTGCTAGGAGTATGGTATTCAGACCATGGTACTATCATGATTCTAGCACCGAGAGGGAGGATCATATTAGTACTTTGAAAATAGTTACACATTAAATTACTTGCTTTAATATTTTTATTTATCCTGAATCTAGGACTTTTTAGGAAGCTGCTATTAACCCATTGAGTATTTCCAGTAATGTTAATTTGAAGCAAGCATAGATAAAATTTTTGTACAGATGTCCCCTTAAAAAATAGTGTCCTGGGACAAGAATAGGCAAAACAAGAATTAACCATACTGCTTTTAAAATCTGTTTACAGGAATAAACTGCAGACTTTTTCATTGACCTGTAGTTCAAACATTTGTAGTTAAATTACACCTCTACCCCAATATAACGTGACCCGATATAACACTAATTCGGATATAATGCAGTAAAGCAGCGCTCCGCGGGGGGCGGGGCTGCGCATTCTGGTGGATCAAAGCAATTTTGATATAACACGGTTTTACCTATAACGCAGTAAGATTTTTTGGCTCCCGAAGACAGCGTTATATCGAGGTAGAGGTGTATATGTGGAGAGATCAAGGTTGATTCAGTTGCAAATAAGTATGCCATTGATACATATTTGTTGCATTGTATATATATTTTTTAAAACTGTCAATTATTAAATTAGCTTAAATTAATTTTTGTAATGAGCACTACATATGTTTGTATAATCAAATCTCCTTCTGGATACTTACCAAAGATACAATTGGTAATTCACTAAGTAAGCATGCATATGTTTAAATATTAAATCACATTCTTCATTTAATATACTAAAACATAGTAAAGGAAAGACTTACTGAAAAAATACATTGTATAAAAAATGTATATTGTATATCCAGTTGTGCAATACGAGGAAAATATTTCAAATGCCAGTATTTCACATTTATTTTTTTATTGTAAATACTGTATGTTTAAAAGGAGCAGTATACCAATGTGGTGGTGAACAGAAGACTTCCAGCTGTTTGGAAAGGTCATCACAAATGACCTACCTTAAATGTGAAGTATGTTTTGCATTTTACTTTTTTTTTTTTTTAACAGTGCAGGCCTCTTTCAAGGCTTTGGATAGCTTATTTCAAGAACTTGTATAATTTCTTGGAGTAGACTTCAAAATTTTGATGTAACTAGAAGTTTTAGAGACTGTCCACTGGCTAGACTTCTGTTTGATTTCTTATGACATGCCTGTCACAGTTAACTTCAGACTCCTAGTTTAGATTTTTAAGGTTTTCCTTCTTCTGTGGGAAGTATTATGTTTGCTTTAAAAAAAAAAATTAAAATGTAGTGAGCAAACTAATATTTAGGTGTAAATAATATCTATACAAGGTTCTAGGTCCCCTAACACACAATTAGTAGTATAACAAAATTCCTGCATCATTAAAATCATAATTCAGACAAGAACTCGGACCACAAAAAATCCTTTCCACACTATCTACAAAAAGTCTGTTTTTTAAAAAAGATCTCTTACAGCCTGCTTGGAAGATGGCCTGAGTTTGGTGGTTTTTAATAAAAACGGTGGATCAGGGGCAGGGTGAGGACCAAGTTCCAGAGTCCTGGAGCTCTCATAGAGATCGCCTTGCCAGTAATCACTTTTTTTTTTTTTTTTTAAACAAAGTGGTTCCAACTATGGGCATCTCAGCTGTAGCAGTATAGCACAGGAAGAAGGGCAGTACCTCAGTTAGAGAACATGCATTGTTTGTGGGAAACAAGGTCAAAGTGCATTTCATGTTGAATCAGAAAATGTTGAGGTTTGTGGTTGTATTTATTTATTGTTGGGGTTATGTCATTAGTATTGGGCAAGCCTGTAAAAAGGCCTTGTCTTTCTGTGCACATGTTAATTCACTGTAGATAATTGTTACATGGATCCTGATGGTTGAGGCTTCCAAGAATGCGGTGGAGTTTTAGGTGTTGTGGGCAGAGACCATTTAGATCCTTGAAGATCAAGATCAAGAATTTGAAGGTGATGTCATTGTCAATAGAAAATGGAATGAGCAAAGTACAGGGACTTTGTGCTCTTGGTTACCATGTGGCTGAGGAGGTACCCTGCTGCGTTTTGCACCAGTTGCAGTTTTTCGAAGTTGATGCTTTCAGATCCAAGTAAATTGTATTTCTGTAAAGTAATTAGAGGATGCAAGAGGCAATATGATGATCAAGGATGGGATGCAATCTCTAAGCCAGCTGGGATAATAGAATGTTTCTCAGAGATGTTGCTATGAGGGCCCAGCATCAGTGAGGAGTCTAAAAGGACCCTTAGATTGCAGTCTGTCTTGACATTTACGGACATACATCCTCCATTGGCACTGTCGTAAGCTCTTCAAAGTGCTTCCCTCTACCTACAAGCATAACCTGTCTTAAGTGGGTTAAGCATCAGCCAGCTCTTCTTGTCCATGTGCTGATCTCAGGCAGATATTGGGATAACGTGGTTACAGATTTACCTGTATATGGTTGACATTTGAACTCATGTAGTCAACTTTTTTCCTGGTGGTTACATGTAAATATTTATAAGACCAAAGAGAATTGAACCTTGTGGCACTTCACAAGGGAGCACTATATTAAACTATTCAAAAAGCTTTCTATCCTTCAGTGTACTTGTTTTCTGCATTCATAATGAAGCTTTTACCATATTTGTGAGGTATTTTATCTTTTTCTTTAACCCTGTGGTTCCCAAGATCTGTGCTGTGAAAGATTCCAAAATTGATTAAAGCACTTCTCAGTTATAAACAAAATGTACACTAAGCCCTCTTCTGTTGTAGCTTTCTGTGAGTGGCTTAGGAGAACACTGTTTACAAATCCTTGTATGCTGTTTTTCTTCATATATATATATATATATATATATATATATATATATATAT